CTCGCCAAGTGATATATGTTAACTATCGATTCATTTTAATAAGACATTTCCATTCTTGAACACGAATACTGTGTTCTCTTTAAATTTCTGATTCAGTTCGTTAAGGTTTAACGTGTTATTTGGATTAGCGAAGCATTTCCTGATAACCTTTTTTTCCAATTGTTGAAGCGTTATCTCTTTATGCTACAAAAATTCGTAAAATGAATGTAAAATTACGCGCACCTTTTAAGATTAAAGAAATATCAATAGAAAATGCTACAACATATTACCTTTCCTTCTTTAAAGATTTTCTTAACAATTTTAGTTACAGAAAACTCGAAATTACCATCATTCTTTTTCTTCTTACCATTGACCTTTTCAGACGAAGTTCCGACGTCCAGTATTTTTTGTTTTTCAGATGAAGCTTCAATCGCCGAATTCGTTTCTTCTTCAGATGAAGTTTCAACGGTTGGAGTTTTTTGTTTTTCAGACTGTGTTGAGGCTGCCTTTTTTTGTTTCTTACTAGCTTTTGTTGAGTCTGATTCGATAACTTGCTGTTCATTCCTGCGTTTCAAACTTTTATTGAAGATGCCTAGACCTACAGTTCCTTCATCCTCAAAAGTCGAATCAATGTCAAAAGCGTTTTTGTTCTCTTCTTGTGAGCCGGATGAATCTTTTTCCTGACTCTGTGTCAATTTAAAGTCTTTCTTCTCTTTTCTGTTTTTATCTTTACTATTAGGTTGATCGAGATTTTGTGTTTTTTCAGGATTTTTATTAGACGATTGTGACAAGTGCTGCGATTCTGACTTTTTCTTCTTATGTTTTTGGTTTTTATTTTCAACCTTTGAGACACCAGAATCTTTGACTTGACTTCCAGACTGCTTATCCTCAATGGCAGGTTCTTCTGCCTTTCGTTTCTTCGAAGTTACCTCGGAATTGAGGTTATCTGCCAACATCATATTAAGTCTCCTAATTGCATCAGTATTGATTTCAGGCCTAGTTTTGTTTTCAGCTTTTTCTTTTTTATCTTCGTTTGCCTTCGTCTTGGTTTTCTTTTCAACTTTTTCTTTTTTTGGGTATCGGCAAATGACTTGTTAAACGAATAT